TGGAATAATTGTGAGTGAGAGGAGGATATGTAGATGGGGACAAAGAAAAGGAGAGGACGTTAACAGCAGAGAAAATACGTTACCAGAGGAGAGATGACACGAGATGCAAGAAAAGTATGAACATGTGATGAGCTGATGGGATGAGAGATGACAACAGAAGGGCTGACTGGCCCATATGGGCTGCTCTCTTGTCTTGGCACATCAAGTGTAAAATGTTTGAGCTGAGGCACAAACACACACACAGGCCACCAAACACAAATGTACAGTATACACACACACACACACACACATTCTCACTCTCTCACACACACACACACACTCTCACTCACACGTGTGTCTGTGCACTGCATACACACTTGCCTGACTTAAAGTCTCTGGGGATATGAGCGACTTTCTACGTGGGTCGTTCCTAGATTCTGCCAAGAGATTCTGTGAATCCGCCAGTAAATCATCAATGTTGTTGGTGCAGTTAAACATTTTCACCCCTTATTTCTCTGTGTGTGTGTGGGGGGGGGGGTAGCAGAAATGTAGATACATTTGGGGAAAATCTTAACAACCCAGTATCTTAGAGGCAATTTCTGCAGGAATCAGGCATTTTGAGCAGGGCCTATTAATTACCTCATAACTGGGTCAAGCGGCTCTTTATGCCGGAGCATTGCTTCGTCCTAAATTAAGCTGGTGCCAGGGATACATAAAACAGAGAGCAACACCGCAAACACGTCACTGGGTGACTCATGTCCATTGTGTGCTGATGAATCATCATCGCTACCTCTGGACCACATTTCAACTGTCAAACTCTGTATTGTTTAAAATTAAAAAAAAAACAATTGGAAACAAAACAGCTTAGAAGTAACCAAATAAATGACATCACAGCTCATGCATAGTCCCAGTCCACCCCACTACCAGCAGCTCACAGTGCGTTGATTAAATGTAAACCATTATGTAATCAGCTTTCATTCAAATCATACAAGGAGGCCAGCTAAATTGGCAAGCAGAAATAATACTACCAACCTCATTCAAGGTGAGGATGAAGAAGTGAGTTAGAAAAGGTCACACGGCTGGTTTTGACATTCAAAAATGTGTGAAAAATAGAAAGGAATATGTAGGTGTAATAGACCTGCCATATTCAGGAGAGCTATTTCCAAATATCTCTCATTTTATTCCCTCTCATTTCTGGCTGCTTTACTTGATCAAGCGAAATAGCACAAAAAAGGCTGTAAATATTTACCATTAAACAAGATAAATACATATCTCATCATAAATGTTTAATTCTTCTAACATTCTAATCGGAACAAAACTTATCCATAATGCATAATTATCGCGCAACCCCATAACTGAACACGACTGTCGGTTTATCACTATCACCATAGCGCACTCTTTGCGACATCCATTCCTTATATTTTAGGAAGCAGACAGCCCTAATTTAGCTCAGCATCGCGTGCTGACAGTACATCCTGTGGAAGCTCAATTGTGTATACGAGGGCGCCCGTGTGCATGTGCGCGTGAAATTGTGTGTTTGCCTTGTTTTTGAGAATACAAACATTGCACTTGCACATACAAACAAGCTGACACACACAGCTGTACTTTCTGAGAGCCGGCAGTGAATGCTGAGACAGTGGTCCCTGATAACTAAAATGCACTCTGTGCCGCGGTGCTAATGCTGGACCAGGAACAGAGGCTGGATCTTTATCTTAATCAGCAGCTTCCTGGCTTTACCTCCCCTTCAACATACACACAAGCTCCAGCACCAGCTTCCCAAACGGTTGGAATAAGGGGGACACACACACACACACACACACACACAAAGCCTGGCAGTAGATGAAAAATGGAAATGTAGGTTTTCTTGCTTGCCCGAGTATCACACGCTCACGCAGAACAGGAAGAATCCTGAGATGATTCTTCCAGTCGTTCCCTGCTTGCTGCATGCCAACTGGAGGCTAATGGAGGAAACGGATCACATAGACAGACTCCCCTACTCACAGCAGAGGCAGCGACAGCATAGTGCAGCCAAGAGGCCATATTTAAAAGGGGGTGAGAGATGGATTCATCCCCTCGTACATCTCATGTCATTCACCTTTGAGAAACTCCAGATTGTATCCAGTGAAGGAAAGTGAGGGAAAACACCCGGTTCTTGTTCAATTTCAGTAAATCGTACGCCAACTCTCACAGCACAGGAGACGGAGGGGGAACTACACCAATTGTCGGCTCCCTGCAGTGTTAGGAATAACAGCTTTCGAAATCCAAGATTGCTCTCTTTTACAAGCTTGGCAGTAAGCTCTATGGGGACACGACGACACGCCGCCTACCAGCAAGATAGGATGTTTTTTTTTTTTATTAATTTCAGCCTCAAAGAACAGCTGTCCCAGATAAATGTTCTAGACATAAGGAGGAGCTCCAAAATTGCCTTTGTGATAAAGCAGAAGGTGGCGTTTGATGCAGTGTGGGATGACTAAACTGGGGATGACTCCTCTAAATCCTGCAGTGTGTAAACCCACCCTACGTAAATTCTAATCCGCTGCTGTGACGAGACGTGATCCCAGTGAGCGTGGCAAACTATAGCAGCACACTTCAAATGCAGCTGCCCCTCCTAGTATCTAGAAAAACCTTCACCTTCACAAAACCCAATTTTATATTATCGTGAGGAACACAGACAGAACAAAAATGAACTAGAGCTTAGCTTTAGTTTGCATCAGCAGTGCCAACACTGTAGCCTTTTAAAATATATATGACCTGCATCTGAGAAGAATCATAAATACAGTGCAGACGTGTGGCTGAAATATCAAAACATGTTCTGCCTCTTTGTTTGTTTGTTTTTTATAATCATAGGCCATAAAGTATTGTTAAGTAAGTAAGTGATACTGGTGACAGCGCAGCGATTAGCCTCGGCAGTGTGTCTGTAGTGACCCGCAGCCCATAAAGACAACAGGGGAAGTTGGAGGTCGAGCATATAGCAAGCCAGAAAAAAAGACTGACTTTGAAATTCATAATTATCACAAAATGCTAATTAAAATGACATTCTAAAGGCAAGACCCTGTTTGATACAGAGCCGTTATTTTAATGTGATTTGATTGGCACATGCTAAGAGAGAATGTATGGTGGCCAGGAGGGATGAAAGCTGGGAAATGGCAATGATGGTCCAGACTGCAAATAACAGATGCATTCAAATGGTACTTTAACAAGTCACCAACCAGCACAGCAGGTAAATCTTTTTTATTTGATCTGATTTCAAACACAAACTCTACTAATACGGGTGTGGGCATTGTTTAGTGTTAAACCCTGGGGGCTTTATGAAGAAATAACTGAAGGTGAAACCAATAAGGTAGTTTGGGCTAATGGGTCATAAGCCTATTCTATGAACATAAAACCCAAACCTTGATTTTTATTATGAATTATGAAGCACAACAACAGTCCCAATACCTCCACTTCCTTAGATCCAAGCTTCTGGCTTTGCGAATTCTAATTCTTTCTGAGAAAAAAACATGCAAACTATGAAAGAGACCACAAAGCAGACAGAGTAGAACTGGACTCTGGCTGGTATACAGTTTGGTCTAAATGCACACGGTCTCAGACGCATAAATCAGGTGTGGCCACAACTAAACACACATGTAAAGCTTAAATGAAGGCACAAATCTAAATGTAGCCTAGACTTAGCATCTCTGATCATCACTGTGAGAGCAGCAATTCTGGTCCCTCTCTGCCATACGAACTCTAATTTCTCTCTCCCCTCGCACGCACACACGCACACACTATTTTCCTTACCCTTTCTCTCTAGTGAAGGACAGAGGATGTGTCTATGACTGGGAAAGACTCACATTTCCTCTCTGAGGTTTCACATTCCTGGGATTCCGTCTGAAGACCACTGCAGCCCATTTAAAACCATTCTCCATATGGAGGGGGTAAAAAAAAAAAACCCAGGGCAGGCGAGAAAGACTGATGGCTGAGTAGATTCTTGAGCTTTGAGACTTAATTTCTCTTATGGTATTACAACAGGTTCATTTCCCTTTGTTATGTTAATGAACCTGTTGTTCACTCGTAGCACAGTGTGTTGAATGAGAAGACAATGCAATCACATGACATGAAGAACACCTGTCATTATGCTATGCTGTGGGAATTACAAGTTGTACTGCATTGCTGTGAGTCTTAAGAAACAAGAATAGTGGTCTACTGACAAATAAAGGTGAAAGCATCTCTTAACGATGAGACAATGTTGAGCTTTCTCCCTCAGCTCGGCAGCTGTATCTCCTGAACAGCATAAGAGGAATCATTGGATGTGACTGCCACCAGAAAATGATTTGGGGGGGAAGGGGGTTGGAAATCCACTCCCTTCATGAAACCCTCCTCCCCCTATCCTTATTTACTGACCACATTGAAAGTAATTATCTAAATACAGGAAGGCCTCTGAGAATGACACACTGTGTTATAAGATGTCGGCTTTTTTTTTTTTTTTGGAACTGTAATTCCACCAAGCATGAAGCCACACACAGTCTGTCCTCTACCTCCTGAAATATACTTGGAACAGGACTACACACAGTGGCTGATGATTAACCGATGGACTGATATGAGCAAACAGGTATTACAAAGAACCACAGAAATTAAGCGTAAAAGCAAATGGCCATTAGCACAGAAGACGCAGTAAGCAGTCAAATAAGCAGTAAAAGCAGTAAGAGCTCTCGTTATTAACGATGCTGAATGATAACAGACACAAGTAACGTTGGCCAGCTAACGTAAAGGTTACTAACACAAACAGCGTTGTTGTCGCAGCTCATGTGTGCTAACGAGCCAGGCTTACTGCCCAGTCTGCTACCGTGAGTTACATTCACTTAAAACAAATTGAATGCGATTCAAACGAAATAACACGAGCTAGACTAAGACATTTGTTTTATAAGTCACACAGGACACACGAGTCCACCAGCACAACCAGCAGATGTTAGTTAGCCTGGCTGGCTAGCAGGCTAGTCGCTAACGTTTCCTAGCAGCGCAGGAGGTTTAAATTCACTTACCTGTCAACCGCAGCTTCACTGGGCCATTTCTCCTAACTCCTTGGCTAGACATTCCCCTTTGTGTTCCAGCTTGATGAAAGAGCACAAAAGTGTCTAACTCATGTGTCAGCGTGTGAGTTTTTTTTTTCAAAAAGGTATCTCCCAAAACAATCCCTCTGCTAGCTTGTGGTTAGCTTGTAGTATCACCATAGCAAATCAGGCTGACTGTGTCTGCAATATAATGGTATCGTAACCATACCGCTGCAATAACACTCTCATTTCAGCCCCTTTTCCGTAACATACGCAAATAACAACATATCCCCCCCCACCCCCCCAAGGCCGAGAGCCACTGGTGCTGATAGAAATCAAGTGAGCAGTGTGCCGTCCATCCGGACAGCTGCCTGCTCTGGCCGTGCTGCTGTGAGGTTGGTGGTGGTGAAGGTAGAGACTGAGGGAGAGAGACTCTGAGAGAGAGACTGAGAGGGAGAGACTGAGAGAGAGATTGAGCCGCTGCAGGCTACAGGCTGGTCAGGGAGAGAGAGGCGCCACATCCGCTACTGTCTTACAAAATAAAAGCAGTATCCAAACTGGTCTTAATCTTAATCTTAACGACCAATGAGAATGTTTTTTAATTAGATGTATGTTCCCCAATTCTTAATGTTTTAGCATTTAATAAACACTATGAAATGATTTTTTTACGTAAAATCGTGTTTATCCATAATTAATCTGGGTAGCTTGAAAGGAGTAAGAAAGGAAAATGACTGACATAAAAGTCTCAAGAGTCTGGTTCTACTCCTTCCTGCACCCTCCTGAGCCATTGTGGCCATATACTGGAATATACAACAGACTTCATTCATAAAATAGTTTACAATACTATATTACTACACTATAGACACAACAGGATCCTTATAACATGTAGGCTCACAGTAAGTATAAAGAATACACACAGTGTCACCTAGTGGTGACATGGATCCCATTTCCTATTTCCCATAACAACTCATTCTTAACACCTTAGCTCCTTCACATCTTTTCACCAAATAAATGGAGCATGTTCCCGTTCATAGCCTGCTAAAATCTGAAACAATGAAAAAGAAAAACTGATGCATGAATAACATTTATTTACAAATATTTCTGTAAAACTGGAGTATTTTGTCTTTGTACTGTTTTGTACAAGGATGACATGTCTAAAAAAAAAAATACAAAAATATCAACAAGGTACGAATTTTCTTTTTTTATGTTACAAAAAGTAAGCTGGAAATGTTAAAACTGGAAAGTGCTTTGGTCCTCAGGGATCTCAAAGGTGTAGGACTCTTCAGTGGCTTCAGGAACCACAGACTCATCCTCATTCTGAAAGACCAGCGAGACAGGAAGAGAGAAGCATTAGACAGAAACAAAACCTCGATTAAACAAATAAAAATAAATATAAAGAAGTAAATCAACTCCTCCAATAAAGTAACTGATCATTCAAGGATTTCAAATTCAAGTTGCATTTGTATAAAAATCTCCACAAGTGTTTTCAACATTGGTACAGATCGTTGTCGTCTGAATGGTCTACTTTCACTTCCTGGACCAATCTATCTAACTTCAGCTGTGATTTCTGCATGAAGGTTATCAACAAAACTTACCTCTTCAGAGAAGAAGCGGTCTATGATGTTGAGAGAGGACTTGTAGACAGCTTCGTTGTCATGGGACTGCAATGCCTCAATCTTGTCCAAACCACCCAACTCCTCAATCATTAGGCACAGTTTATCAATCTCACCAGTTTTGCAAGTCATCTGTGGAGAAAGAAAAAAATATATATGACTAATAGTTCCCTCACCAAGAGATGAACCTGTGACCATCCATTTTAATCTGTGACTGGCAAAAATCCATCTGTGAGATTAAATTCTGCAAATCTTCATGTTTCCTAATCTCAGAAACCCACAATGTAAAACTCAATTTCCCCGGGACCTAAAAGCAAATATCTGCTGGCAGGAGAGTCTGGAAGTCATTTAAAGGCTCATTTCTCTTAAATGTATGAAGATTATATTCTTCCTTGCAGTTATAGGCAGTACCATTAGCCCATAATCTGTCGAGCATGGCTGGCTCCCGGAAGATAGTTTGAATTTTAGTGCATTTTCCACAACCTGCCAAAACATTTGCACAATTTTACTGTTGTCCTTCATTTTCTAAAAAGGATTGTGGCAGTGTTTTTGCATGCGTTATCCAATTTACTTCAAACCAAGTATAATAGTTCTAATTAAAAGCCACACATGCACCAAATCTTTATATTACATTCCTATGTGACAAAACAGAGTTTTCATAACCAGCTTTTCAGGCTACTCATCTCGTTGTACACGAGAAATGAACACAACAAATTTGGATCTCATGAGAAATAAAAAAGGAAGACCGGTGATTTGGTGTGCTGTAGTTGTAGTTTAGTACTGTAGTTTAGTGCTTCTTTGTGTGTTTCTTACTTTGTGCTGTGAACGTCTTTAAATTGCCTTTACAACTACATTGCTACACAATGATCATATAACCTTAACAACAATAACTGCACATACTGTATATTGTTTACAGTGATACATTACCTACAATTTAATCAAGTATAAATTGTGTGAATGTTGATTTTCATACATTTATACAATCTACTGAGATGAATGGATAAACTCTACAGCAGCGATACTCAACTTACAGTCTGCGGGCTAAATCTGGCCCGAAATATGGTGCTGGGTGGCCTTCAGACCATTTTCTGACACAAAGAAAATGATTTGCCCAGGGAATGTTATTGGTTTTTTATACCAATTAGTAAATGTTCCCTGGCGTTGGGAAGTTGTATATTAACCTATCAGCGATCAGTGCATAGGAGAGATGATACTTGATTTCTGCAAAAAGCTGCGCCTCATACCAGTCTTAAACCAGTGTTTCATTAACAAGTTGGGTTGAGTGTTAATTGAAGCATTTAGACTGCACTACGACGACAAACTTGCTGTGAGCAACTCCAATGCAGCAACAGGGTCTCGGCAATATACCTGTAAAATATTGTAGATTGCATCCAGGATGACCAAGAGGATTTTGCTGTCTTTGGCTGTCAGCAGGTTGAGCAGAGGCTCCAGCACATTGCACTGGACTAGGTAGGCCACTTGCGCCAACGTTCCACCACTGGTATAATTGGTGACAGCCCACACTGCCTCCTTCTGGGTCTTGTAGTCTCCCTAAAGAGAAATTACATCTCATTCATACATACATAGTATAGAAATATACTAAAGATATTTGAAATGAGCCCTTATAGAAATTAAAATAATAATAAATATAACAATAAAATAACTTTATGCACACTAATCAATAAAATATAACATTACGTATTATGAATTAATAAAGTAAATTTGACTTTGTAGTAAATATATTTTCTGTATTGTGTTCTGACCTGTTTGAGGACCTCCACCAGGATGGGGATCAGGCCTGCGTTGATCACCTCTTGGATCTGGGTATCCTTGCCAGCAGTGATATTGGACACCGCCCAGGCTGCCTCTTTCTGGATATTGGGCTTGTCGTGGCACAGCAGTCTTGTGAACATCACCAGGGCACCTGCATTCAGCACACACTGGGTCTGCTCATCTGTCCCAGTCACAATGTTGCCCAGTGAGCGCAGGGCTGGAGTCTGCAAATTGAAGGGGAGTTAAGTCAATTATCTGCAGTATTTACTATTTAGGAATAATATATAGGAGAGATGATGGTGATTATTATTTGATACCTAAACACTGTGTCACATGCTGATGTTGGCACACCTGTCTGAAGCCACTAAGTATGCAGGCAACAGCAGAATACGCTTATGTACAAAGGTTCATGACAGAATCAAGAGGGCAGCTATTTCTGATGAATGAAGGTAATCTTCTTCGATAATCACTTTGAATTAAATGTTGTACTGACTGAATATGAGCACTGTAGACGGCGCACTAACTGCTAGTTAGGGATGGGCGATATGTTATCGTTTACGACAATTAAACAATAAATATTGACAACAAAGGCGGAAGGCGGAGCAGATACGCC